TTCCAGTTCCCTCAGGACTCTCTCAGCCCTGTCTGAGAATTATGGTCTCTGAACAAAACAGCATGCTACCTAGTCTTGGCTGAAGTCTGAACGCCACCATCCAGGTGTACCCAATATAAAATCCTTAGTGATCTACATGTGAATAAAGTATGAGAGACAGTGTGGTGTAGTGGTTAAGAGCGACAGACTCTAATCTGGACAGTTGGGTCTGGTTCCCGGCTCCTCCACATGAGGCCTGCTGGGTGACCTTGGGCCAGTTCCAGTTCCCTCAGGACTCTCTCAGCCCTGCCTGCCTCACAAGGTGCCTGTCATGGGGAGAAGAACGGAAGGCGATTGTAAGCCCCTTTGAGACACCTGAGGCCTGATGGGTGACCTTGGGCCAGTTCCAGTTCCCTCAGGACTCTCTCAGCCCCACCTGCCTCACATGAGGCCTGCTGGGTGACCCTGGGCCAGTCCCACTCCTCTCAGGACTCTTTCAGCCCCACCTGCCTCACAAGGTGCCTGTTGTGGGAAGAGGAAGGGAAGACGATTGTAAGCCACTTTGAGACTCCTTCAGGTAGAGAAAAGTGGGGTATAAAAAAACCTACTCTCCTCCTTTTCTAAAGTGTGAATTAGTCTTGCTAAGTCCCATCACAGACTGCCTTGAAAGGTGTGTTTCCCCTCCTCATAGTCTTCTGAGATCAGAGGGACAGAAGTATTTTGCCTACCTCCCTGTGTCTTCCACATACCTTGGGATGCTATGCAGATGTTTTGGTCTCATGATACATGGTTTTGTTTAGATAAATGAATGAACACACTGTAGAAGTGACAAGATGAGAAAGCCTTGGCAGAGGAGTGACCAGACTAGAAAGGCATTAGAAACGGTTTTTTGAAGCTTATGGGGAGGCCCAATATGAACAAGCATGCTCTAGAAAATCTTGAGACTAGACAATTTCAGAGGGTAGCTGTATTAGACTGCAGTGCAACAGGTAGATTCGAGTCCAGTGGCACCTTAAGAAACAAACTAGACTTCTGGGATATAAGCTTTGGAGAGTCAAAGCTCCCTTCATCAGATACAAGTAGGAACGGAGATCTCTGAGTCCTTGTATTGAAGTCTGGAGGTGGGAGGAACTAGACAGGCAGCAAATGAAATGTTCACAAACCAATGGAATTACATTTTTCCAGCTTTCAAGTGTCATCTCACAATTAATCATGTTCACTGATCATTTTGATCAGCTGTAAGTGAAAGTGTGACTAAGAAACACTTCTGAAAGAAGTCACATGACATGAGACTGGGGGAGGAATTATTGACTCGGAAGAGAACATGAGAACATAAGAAGAGCCCTGCTGGATCAGACCAATGGTCCATCTGGTCCAGCATCCTTCCTGTCTCACACCATGGCCAACCAGTTCCTCTGGGCAGCCAACAACAGGGCACAGAGGTTGAGGCCTCCATAAGAACATAAAAAGAGCCGTTGGATCAGACCAGTGGTCCATCTACTCCAGCATCCTACCTCACACAGTGGTCAAGTAGTTCCTCTGGAGGGCCAACAACAGGGCACAGAGGCCAAGGCCTTCCCCTGATGTAGCATCCTAGCTCTGGGATTCAGAGACTTAGTGCCTCTGAATGTGGAGGTTCCCCTCAGCCACCATGGCTAGTAGCCATTGATAGCCTTATCCTCCATGAATCTATCTAATCCATAGATGAGAACCACCAGAAGGGCATAGTCTGGGTGGGATGCTGCTCTAGAGGGTTGCTAAGGCAGAAAAGATGAAAGCAGGCACAAAACTAACTGTATTTTAGCACTCTGTGTACGCTACCTGAGGGGGTCCTTCTGGACTGAAAGGTAGGGAGCCAGTTTGGTGTAGTGGTTAAGTGTGCTGACTCTAATCTGAGAGAACCGGGTTTGATTCCCCACTCCTCCACTTGCACCTGCTGGATGACCTTGGGCAAGCTGTAGTTCTGATAAGAGCTGTTCTTGAAAAAGAGCAGTTTCTGTCAAGAGCTCTCTCAGCCCCACCTGCCTCACAGGGTGTCTGTTGTGAGGAGGGGAAGGGAAAGGAGTTTGTAAGCCGCTCTGAGACACCTTTGGGTAGTGAAGGGTGGGGTATAAATCCAATCTCTTCTTCTTCTTCTTCTAGAAATCAATAAAGAAGTAAAGCACTATTGGAAGAAGAGATGGAAGAGGATGATAAAATGCAGGGTACTTATCAGACAGGATGAAGGTGGCAGGCATACAAGTACCTTCTAAAAGGCGAAATACGTGTATATCTAAAAAAATCAGTCTATTCATGATATGTTATGTGGTAATATACCACTGGATAATTTTAACACGATTTATCTAAAAGGATTTGTAATTCCTTCAGATACAGACTTAGTTTTGCTTATAGCTGCTAAGATAGTTATTGCAGCATATTAGGAGGAGGCAGAATCCCTCTCCTTCCCGCTAAAAGATTGGTTTAACTGTGTTCGGAATGTAGCTTTATTAACTAAATTAACAAAGAAATAATTTGTCCCTAACAGATAAGTTTCAGGAATGTTGGACAATCTTTGTTATGTATTGGGATGAAAAAAATAAGAGATAAAACATGCCCTTTTTCTTTTTCTCAAGTCTTATGTACTTAGACATTATTTAGCATAATATCAGAGGTCATTTTCTTTAGGAGCGCACAGGAGCGGAGGGTGGGAACATGCAACAAGCCCCACCCCCTGCTCCCAGCAGCCCTCAGTCAGAGCAAGAAGCAGCCAGATAAGTTGCAGAGCACCCCTGGTCCAAAACAGTCCAGTGGCACCTTTAAGACCAAGTTTTATTCAGGCACAAGCTCTACCTCCTCTGCAAGGACAGAGCTGCACGTTCCCCCCCCCAATAGCTAGGTATCCAAAACAGTCCAGTGGCACCTTTAAGACCAAGTTTTATTCAGGTACAAGTTCTCCCTCCTCTGCGAGGACAGAGCTGCACGCCCCCCCCCAATAGCTAGGTATCCAAAACAATCCAGTGGCACCTTTAAGACCAAGTTTTATTCAGGTACAAGCTCTCCCTCCTCTGCGAGGACAGAGCTGCACGTCCCCCCCCCCCAATAGCTAGGTATCCAAAACAATCTAGTGGAGCCTGAGTGGTGGGTGTTGCCTTCTGACACACTTCCGGTGATGTCAGGGGGTGTGGCATATGCAAATAAGGCATGCTAATGAGCTCCTGCACCTCTTTTTCTATGAAATGACCCCTGCATAATATATGCAATAAATGTGAGGGGAAAAGGCAAAATGAATGTCACCCAAGTGTATAATTCAAAACTGAGCTCTTTGACTTTTACCCATGTATTATACATTAGAGCCACCACAGAGTGGCCAGAAGACCAAGGCCAGTTCCCCCAGAGCAAATGGCTGCTTTGGAGGATGGACTCTATGGCATTATACCCTGCTGAGGTCCCCCCCAGGCTCCACCCCCAAAATCTCCAGGTATTTAGAGCTATCAACCTGACTTTCACGCTGTGCTCCAAGAAACCCGGAATTCCTGGGAAAGGCACCAGGGATTCCATGATGAGAAAATAAGCAACAAAAGGCAAGCTTTCCTGAAAGATGTCTACCATACTTTGCCTTCAAGATACAGCTGAGGGTGTGTTCACTGGAACGCAGGCAAAGTATTGGACAGCAGATTTTAGTATATTTTATATATTGCATTTCAATCGAAAGCTTACAAAATTGTGCATGCTGCAACGGCAGGGGCCCCACAGGACCGGCAATGGACATATGTGGACTCGGAACCTGCACAAGAATCCCCTGTAGCATTCAGGGCTTCTGTGGCAGATGCACAGGGGCCTCTTGGCAGCCAAAAATCAGTACAGGAAGGATTTCCTGAAAGTTCCCTTGAAACCTATTGCCTGAGGGTTCAGCCCATCAAGCAGCAAGAAGATGTTCCACAGTTATATAGTGAACCCTGCTATTGAACAACCACAGCTACATTGACTGGAAGTGTCACCAAATTGCAGCCAACTTAGAGGTTTACAAGATTATGCACGGGATAGAGTAGGTACAGAAAGAAGTATTTTTCTCCCTTTCTCACAAGCCAAGAACTTGTGGGCACTCCATGAAATTGCTCAGCAGTCAGGTTAGAACAGATAAAAGGAAGTCCTTCTTTGCCCAAAGAGTGACTCACACATGGAATTCACTGCTACAGGAAGTGGTGGCAGCTACAAGCATGGACAGCTTCAAGGGGGAATTAGATAAGCATATGGAGCAGAGGTCCATCAATGGTTATTAGCCAGAAGGTATAGATAGGGACTCCGGGGCAAGTGATGCTCTGTCTTCTTGGTGCTCAGGGGGGCCAACAGTGGGAGGGCTCCTAGTGTCCTGGCCCCACTGCTGGACCTCCTGATGCCCCCTGGTATTTTTGGCCACTGTGTGACACAGAGTGTTGGACTGGATGGGCCCTTGGCCTGATCCAACATTGGCTTCTCTTATATTCTCATGTTCTGGTGACTCCCTCGGATTTTCAAGGCAAGAGATGAACAGAGGTGTGGTTCGCCATTGCCTGCCTCTTCAGGGAGACCTTGGGACTTCCCTGGTGGTCTCCCATCCAAATACTAACCAAGGCTGACCCTGCTTAGCTTCCGAGACCTGATGAGATTAGGCTAGCCTGGGCCATATGGGTCAGGGGCTACATCTACAGCTACATCTAGGTCGACATCACACCTCTTACACAGAATAACAATATATCTCGTTTCTTTTATATCTCCCCCCCCAGTGCATTAGTTATTACCTGTTTCCATTCAGGACAAGCAGTGTTGCTGGCCACCATCTATACTGAACAGCTATTTGTTTTTGAGTAGCATAAGAAGCTGCCGCCGAGAGGTACCCATGGCTTCAGTGTATTGCACTTTGAAATTTAATCCACACTTCACAAGGCTCAGTAAGGTTTACCAGGGTTAATATTCAAATTTCAGTCACAGGAAAATTCAAGTATCTTTCCTGCGGAATTTAGGATGAGGCTAGTTTAAATATTTTGTAGAAGTCTTATATTTACCTGATGATCCTCTGAGCGGCATACTGATGAAGGGAGCGGAACTGTGCTGACATATTGGCTAAAGCTGCCAAACAATTTGTATGAAGGTATTTGTCCTGTGGGAGAAGAGCAGGAGGGGGGAAATGCATCAAGCTATCCTTTCTGCATACAGCAAGACCTGTCAAAAGGAAATCACCCAGCAGCCGAACATCCGTTTACCGGAGAGGTAAGGCTGCAGTAAAGACAAACCAAACTTGTGCTCCGATTTTAGGGGTAAGCATCAAGAGACAATTTTGTGCTACCTTGGGCTTAGTATACTTCACGATTTTTATCTGTGTGGCTGCATGTTTAACCCTGGTTTCAGAAAAAAAACGAGTTGAATTACTTGCTTTACTTTCTCGGTCTTGTTTTAATGTAAGAAATAATATGTTTAAGCAGCAGCCAGCCATGATAATGGTAGACTTTATTCATGGAAACCTGGTGTCTGACGCTCCAAATAAATGGTTTAACCTTTCATTTACAAAGTACGGTTTTGTCTTTATGATTTGATTTCCTTGTGATTTATCAGCCACATTTTGATTTTGATCACTCACAGACAAAACTCGATTGTCTCCAATACTCTGGTATTCAGAATTCTTGCTCCGGGCACCACACAGAATAGCCTCTCAGTTTTTGACACCATCATTTCCTACATAAATATAACTCATGCACAAAGGTACATCTATTGCATTTCTAACAACAAAAAGTGTTGTTAGAACAGAACAGGAGAAATTAACATCTGTGGAGCCATGCGTGTAAATTTTTATGTTGTTTTCCCTCAGATAATGTTTTCGGCTTTTATATTTGCTCCTTCACTTCCCCCACATGGTGACAGAGAATGACAAAGATGCCTTATCACTGCTCTTACCCTTGTTCGTGTCATGTTGTACTGAATAGTTCTTATTACTACCAGTATCAGGAGACTCCCCAAGGAAATTTCTGTTAACACACGTTCTGAGTACCAGGTAATATTCTTCAATATCTGCAAAGAAAGAAAAAGAACTATTCTTCACTTGTGAACATAATTCTATTTTCAAGTCAGTCTTTTAAAAATTGTTTCCAGAGACAAGGGAATTAAACCTACAGGTTTGATGCACTACAGCTGAAAGTGCAGAAACACAAAAGGGTCTCTCTGGACTTTTCAGAGACCTTGATAAACTTTGCAGCGGCTCAGTCTGATTTAATGCAAACATCTGCTTCTGATCGAACCCAGTCCACCGTGGACTATGTAGAAGGACTGCAGGTTATAGTTGCATTTCGAAAGTACAGGGAAACAGTGAATTCCATAATGAGATACCATTTCACTCAGTTTTAGGAGGGGGAGGTTAAAAAAAAAAAAGCACTGGGATCTTTTCCAAATGCTGGAGTTCCCCCTGATTACCTGGGGAGTCAATCCACAAGCACTGAAATCAGTTTGGGCAGGGCTGTCCCACAGTTCTGGTGTCATTTTATTTTCTTCCACATGTGCCTGAAATAATGAGGATTTTCAAGGGAGGGTGCTGTCCTCATCGGTATTATTATTAGTGGTGTCAGAGTACCCCTTTTTTAAAAAATACCCTACAAAAGAGATATAATGCTGCAGAGCTGTAATGATAGTTTAAGCAGGTTCTCTGAATTCGCAGCTTTCATTAAAGAAAAAAAGTGGCTCATTCTGTCGTGGAGATATAAGGAAAAAGGCATATCTCCACAAGGGAGGGAGGGAGGAATTCAGAGAACCTGCTTAACCAATCATTATAACACGACAGTATTATATCGATATTTTAGGGCTGTTTTTTAAAAATAAAATTTAAAATTGTCTGGGGCAAGAGAGGGAATGGTTTAATGATGGCAACAGTCCAATAATTGAAAAGTGGGCTAGAGGTAGGTACGACAAAAAAAACCCCATTACACACAAGAAAAAGCCAACTCGAAATTAGCTTCCAGAAAAAATTTGGAATAAGAGTGTTCTCAAAAGTTCTATATACCCCCCCCCCCAGGGAATTACAAACAAAAACATCCCCAAAATCCAAAGTAAAAACTAAAGGCACAAAAATGCATGTGGAAATCGGGGGATGAACCAAAGCAATATGGGGCCAGAACCGACGAAAATACCCCATGCGGAAAAGCTCTGGAAGAAGCAACACTTAATACCATTTGCAAACTATCTAGGAACCACAGCTTGGAAAGTGAGATATATAGCTCCACAGGGAGTCACATAGTTCACTCAGATATGCCTTTTGTATGTGGGTTTTTCTATGGTTTGGTATACGGTTTCAAGGGTTGATAATTTGGAACTTTTTCCCCTTTTCTTTTTTAAAAAATCAGAGCCTTTTTACTGTTCTATGACTTTCTGTTCACCACTTTGGAATCTTGGTAGAAAAATATTGCAGATTAATGAATTAAAGTTCTAAGTAAGAAAACTACATTGCCTAGGGAATAACTGGTCCTGTTCTTTGTGATATGCAAAGCATTAGGGGGGAAACATTATGGTATATTTATGTAATATTCTTTAACAAGTGTAGACATTTGGATACAAAGGAAAAAAAGAGGCTGTCCTTTCAGTCTGTGTATTGCAGGTTTCTGGTGCTTTTCGCAGTTACCTTAAAGGGAGCTCTTCCTACCAGATCAGTTGGAGGGGGAAGATGCATCCGGTAATTAATGCTCCAGCACGAAGGCTGGAGCATTAATGCAAACTCTCTTTAAATTATCTGTGGCTTCCTCGACCGAGTTCTCGTTGCAACACACTGATAAACTATTTTCTGAAACTTTCACTCGCTATCAGGTTCACAAAGAAAGATCTTCTGTAATTGTAAGCTGCTTTGAACAAGCAGGAAAGGCAGGATATAAATGTTAAAACAAATAAATGTTACTTTGACAACAGGAAGGAGGGAGCCTTGATTACCACATTGCTCTACGTTCCTGTTTTAAAAATATCAAGTCTTCACTGCGTTTCTGTTTTGTGAGATGAACAATTCGAAATTACTTCCTTACGATATGTTCTTAATATTGACCATTGTCTAGGGCAAAGTAATATATGCTGAGACGGACGCCTAGTGCAAGAATAGTTTTTTGAAAAGTCCTCGAGGAGAACAGCACCCGATCAGGTTTACTTGGTGGTGGAAAGTGCCATCAAACTGCAGCTAACTTACGACAACCCCAGAGGGTTTTCAACGCAAAAAGTGAACAGAGGTGGTTTGCCATTGCCTGCCTCTGTGTAGCAAACCTGGCATTCTTTGGGCGTCTCCCAGCCACGAACTAACCAGGGTCGACCCGGGTTAGCTTCCTAAATCTGACCAGATCAAGCCAATCCGGGCCATCCAGGTCAGGGCAAAACACGTACAGAGGTGGTTTGCCATTGCCTGCCTCTTTGGTGTAGTGGTTAGGAGCGCGGACTCTAATCTGGGAGAAGCCGGTTTGAGTCCCCACTCCTCCACATCCAGCCAGCTGGGTGGCCTTGGGTCAGTCACAAGTTCTCTCAGAGCTGTTCTCTCAACGACAGTCCTCGAGAGAGCTCTCTCAGCCCCACCTACCTCACAGGGTGTCTGTTGTGGGGAGGGGAAGGGAAAGGGGATTGTAAATTGCTCTGAGACTCCGAGTGAAGGGCGGGGTATAAATCCAATCTCCTCCTCCTCCTCTGTGTAGCGACCAAGGACCTCGTTGGGGGTCTCCCATCCAAGTACCAAACAGGGATGACCCTGCTTAGTTTCCAAGATCTGATGAGATCAGATAGCCTGGGCCATCCAGTTCAGGGTAGCAGGTTTACCTACACTGTTCCTATTCCCATTATTAATAAAACTGGAATCAGTACAGGCACAGGAAAACTATTTGTGTGGAACTGCTGGGAGAAAGTGATCTTGTATTTTTTTGATCTTCTTTCCAAGGAAGCCAAAACCACATCTTATTTTCAAACACAAAAACCCTTGACCAGACAGGAAAGCTTTTGTGGCTTCCCTGGGGGAGGAATACAAGTAAGAGTCTATATAATCAGTGATTTATAAAATGGTACTTACTAAAATTAATCTTAAATATCAATAAATAAGCACGGGCATCACACCACAAAAGAAAAATATGTTCCTACTATGACACAGACAGTGCAGTTATAAAAGCAGAATGTGCGGCTGAGGATGGGATGGAGTACCCAGCCTGACGCAGCAGGTCTTAATTATTTTTATTTTCTCGGTCTTCAACCATAGGACGAAAGCCGCTTCCTTCCGAAGCGGCTAAAATTAACTAGCGAAGCAGAGTTTTGAGGGGCCTCGCTCACTCCTAGTGCTCTTGAACATGAGTTTTGGGATGGCGCTCACATGTGAATTCAAAATGTATAACGGTATCCTGAACAGGCACACCAATTTTATTCCAATATTACAAGCTTCGAGGCAGATTTATCAGTGCTTTGTACTACATCTTTCTCTGTATCTTTTTTTTTTAAAGAAGAAGAGAAGAAGAGATTGGATTTATACCCTACCCTTCACTACCCAAAGGAGTCTCAGAGCGGCTTACAAACTCCTTTCCTTTCCCCTCCCCACAACAGACACCCTGTGATGCAAGTGGGGCTGAGAGAGCTCTGACGGAAACTGCCCTTTTTCAAGAACAGCTGTGCCAGAACTATGGCTTGCCCAAGATCATCCAGTAGGTGCAAGTGGAAGAATGGGGAATCAAACCCAGTTCTCCCAGATTAACCACCACACCAAACTTCACCAAAAAGGTGAAGCCTAAAGTGAAACACAGAATTGTGCTCTGCGTGTGAGAATCCAATTTCATTCCAACATCTCCAATGGCATTACCATGCTACCAACTTACAAGCAGAGCGTTGAACAAGACCGTAATTAAAGCCACAAGCTACTCAAGCAATTCTACAGAGCACACCTGTGCTCTGCGTGTGAGAATCCAATTTCATCACCATGCTACCAACTTACAAGCAGAGTGCTGAACAAGCCCGTAATTAAAGCCACAAGCTACTCAACCAATTCTACAGAGCACACAAAGTTATTATTTTGAGAGACTCGTGCGAATCAATCTGACTGCACAGATTTAGACATCTCTCCTCTTTTCAATAATATCCTGGCTGGAAAGGGCCAACAGGTCGCGGCCGACTTTGGGTGACCCTGTAGGGTTTTGAAGGCAAGTGACATTCAGGGGTGGCTTGCCGTTGCATGGTTTTCCCTGGTGGTCTCCCATCCAAGTACTAACCTGGACCAACTCTGGTTAGCTTCTAGGATTTGACAAGATCAGGCTAGCCTGGGCTGTCCAGGTCAGAGCATTAATATTCTACTTGCCCTAAAAATATTTTCAGCACTTACAAACTGGTGTTGCCGCCTACAGTGCAGTTCTTGGGTACTCAGCATCCCATTTGGAGTCATTTCAGGTCAGTATCAAGGGTTTATTCTTGTGTTGGGGAAGGCACAACGTCCAGATCCTCCCTGCACACATGGTTTTGAAACCTGGGGTGGGGGGGGTGGGACACAAGATATC